TTCACGAATCTAGAAAAAAAAATCCAAGAATTCGTATGGAATCACAGAAAACCATGAATAATCAAAGCAATCCTACAGAGCCGGAAGCATCACAATACCTGACTTCAAATTATACCACAGAGTTATAGTGATAAAGACAGCTTGTTAGTGGCATAAAAACAGACAAGTAGATTGATGGAACAGAGTATTGGACCAAGAAATAAACTGAAAATGCTGTGCCCACCTAACTCTTGACAAAGGAGGCAAAAACACTAGGAAAAAAGATAGCTTATTCAATAAATGGTCTTGGCAAAACTGGATAGCCACCAGCAGAAGAATGTAACTAGATTCACAACTTTCATCTTGTACAAAAAAATCATTTTGAAATGGTTCAAAAACCTTAATTTAAAACCTGAAACTCTGGCACTTCTAGATGAAAACACAGGGAATATTCTTCAGGACATTACAACAGGCAAAAACTTTCTGAACAGAATACATATCCCATTTCTGTTTCCTTAGAGAACCCTGACTAATACACATGCCATGCTTATTGCTGCTCTAGTCACTATATCAAGGAACTGAGACCAATCAAGTTGTTCATTAACAGAAGAATGGATAATGAAGTCTGGTGCACATATAAAATGGAGTATTATTCAGCTCTAAAGAAAAACGAAATCACAAAATTCACAGAAAAATGAATGGGCCTAGAATGTATGATATTAGGTGAGTTCATCCAATCTCAGAAAGAAAAAAACCTACATATCTTCTCTCTCACATGTGAATCCTAGCCTATAATGTGTGTGTGTGTGTGTGTGTGTATGTGTGTGTGTGTGTGTAAAAATGCATGTGTTGGTTTACTATAACATTTAGAAAGGAAAACAAGAAAGAGTAGTTTTAAAAAGGCATACTATGAATTCATGTGCAAGTCCTTTGAATGCTGTCTTGGGGATGTAATACAATTTTGATGCAGAATGGGTCCTTGGGTGAGCAGTATTCACACGTGATAAGAGGCTGTGGCCTTGCAGGGAAATCTGAATTTTAGTTATGTTTTTTCATCCTTTGAATATTTTTGTGTGTTGTAGGGTTTTCTTGTGAGTACCAATAAACTTTAATTTTAAAAAAGTTCAAGCTGTGTATGGTGGCAACACCTTTAATCCCTGTACACGGGAAGGGAGGCAGGCGGGTCTCTGTGAGATGGAGGTCAGCCTGGTCTATATAGCAAGTTTCAAGCCAGCAAGGCATACAGGGAAACCCTGTCTCCAATAAAAAATGTGATAGCTCAGTGGTTAAAGAGCACTGGCTGCTCTTGCAGAGGACGTAGGTTCAATACCTAGCACCCACATGGCAGCTAACAACCATTCATAACTCCAGTTCCAGGGGATCCAATGCCCTCTTCTGACCTCTGTGAGCATTGCAGGACATGGGTGTACTTACACATATGCAGGCAATACACTAGTACACATAAAATAAAAATAATTTAAAAATATTTTTAAAATTTCTTTTCAACAAAAATGCTGGGAAAATTGGGTAGTCACACACCAAAGAATGAAACTGGATTCCCTATCTCTCATTCCGCACAAAAGTCAGTTCAGAATGGATCTGCTATCTTGAGTACTAGAGGAAAACATGAGCAAGACACCTTAAGGCATCATTAAAGGCAAGAAGGAATTTCTGAAAATGACTCTCATAGTATTGGAAACCATCCTAAGAACTGACAATTAGGACATCATGAAATTAAAAAGCTTCTGCACAGCAAAGAAAACCATCAATAGAGTGAAGAGATGGCCTACAAATGAGGGAGAAAAGACTTTGCCAAATATACATTTAACAGAGGAAGGGATTAATATGCAGAATCTGTGAAAATGCCAAAATTAAATTCTAAAACCCCCAAACCACACACAATAAATGGGCTAATGAATTCAAGTTCTCAAAGAAGTACAAAAGATTTTTAAAATTTTGAAAAAGTTTCTATACCTTTAGCCTCAGAAAAATGCAAATTAAAACTGTTGAGATTTCATCTGTTCTAATTTTCTTTCCTGTTGCTGTGATAAAATACTCTGATAAAAGCAACTTAGAGAAAGGATTTATTTTGGCTTATAGTTCCAGAGGGGATACAGTCAGTCATGGCAGGGGAGACATGGAAGCAGGCACATGAGGGAAGAGCCATCATATTACATCATAGTCTGGAAGAGAGAGAACAGGAAGTCGGACCAGGCTACTAACCTCAAGACCTGCCTGCAGTGATGTTTCCTCCAGCAAAGCTCCATAGTAATGCCTTTTACAATATGGACATAATATGGACTAAAGACTTTTACTTAACCTTGCAACCAACAAGTTGCTGTTTATAATGTAAACAAGCTCATTAAGCCATGTGCACCCCTTGTGACCTGGGCACCTAACCTTCATATCACAGGATCCCACTTTGCCCTCCCCTCAAGATGCTGAATGAATGTGGGCATACTTGATTAACATGATTAACATATCAAAGTGCTGCAAGTGGCATGTTTTTCTCATTGAAAAAGGGTGAGAAAAAACTTAGAAATGTTTGTAATTCTGTGTGTGTGTGTGTGTGTGTGTGTGTGTGTGTGTGTGTGTATGTGATAATACAGGCCTAGGGATCAAAGGGCAAGATTTTCTGATGAGAAGGGTGGGTCCTAGCTTCTACTTCCCCAATTCATGCTGGAGATACTGTTTGAATAAAAGGAGGAGAGAAGCCTGGCTTGAGAGGACAGTTCTGTAAGACATCTGGAGAAATGGGTTCTCAGAGTTTAGGTCCACTGTTTGCCTTAAAATTAATGCTAATAGGTTGTTTCTTTATTTAGGAATATTTATAATGTGTCTTAGAAACACTGCAAGGCTCTAGCTCCTAAAAGTTTCATAACTTTTCCAAATAGCACCACCATTTGAGGACCAGGTGTTCTAACATATGAGTCTATGGGGGCCCTTTTACTTTTAAACTTTAACAATATTTCATTGTAGTAAAAATAACTATCTTACTACAGAAAACAAGTAATAATTCACATGTGGAGGTCAAAGGAAGGGAGGGATGAGAATGATATCAGTTTTCTAGTTTGGATGTCAGGGTGAATGGAGGTATGATTGTCTGGACAAGATTTAGGGGCAAGACAGGAATTCTGTTTTGGACAAATTGACATTAAGGTGCCAATGGAATTTTCAAGTCCAGTTGTTCAGTACTGGATGGTTAGTGAAAGGCCTGGGTGTGTAAGACAGGTCCTCAGGTGGAAAGAGACATGTGGAAGAGAATGTAGAGTAGAATAGGCCCGACAAGGAGAGGATAGGACCTCAGCAGAATACCAACTTCTAGTGTTACAGAGTATACTCCAGTGTTGCATAGCTTTTTAGACAGCAAATACCTCAGGAAGGTTATTTTATCTCAGTTTCTATACCTATAAAATGAGCATAATAATAGTGAAAGTACTTTCTAGGGGTTTGCTGTGACAATGACTTTTATAATATAAACATTCTCTGGACAAATGATCTTTTACCTAATCTTGTAGCCGAAAAATTAGTCTTATCTTTGCTTGTTTACAATGTAGACAAACTAACTGAGCCATGTGTTCTTGTGACCTAAGCATTTGGCCTTAATCCCTCAGGATCCCTCCTTGCCCTGTACTCAAAACAAAATGTTAATGTGGGTGTGTGTATTTTTGCATATTTGTTGGAAGCAATGAAGATTATCCCATTTGCGTTGATAATAATAAGATTAAATTGATGACATGTTTGTGGTTGTATGTTATTCTAGGTCAGTAGGGATCAGAAAGGAATCTAATAAGGGTCTGAGTTTTACTTCCCCATTTCATGCTGGATATACTGTTTCAATTAAAGAAAGAATGAGTCCTTTGTTCTCTTAGAATGAGCAGTTCTGAGAGAATTCTAAGAGAATGAGCAGTTCTGTTTGGGTCTTCTCTTGGCTTAAAAAGAATGCTGAGAGTCAGGTTGTTTTTTGGCAGGATAACTGTGATGTGGCATTGTGCAATAAATGACACAGCCTGAAAGATGACTCAGCAGGTAAATGTACTTGCCAAGTCTGACCACCTGAGTTCTAGTCCCAGAACCCATGTAAAGGTGAAAGGAGAGACCTGACTCTACTAAGTTGTCCTCAGACTTTCACATGAGCACCATGGCATGTGTACACAGCCCATAACAATAAATAAAAACTTTATTCAAAAAGTGTTTGCTATTTTTAGTTTCATAAGTGTCTGTAAATAAAGAGGTGCCCACGAACTCAGAGCTCTAAGATATAATAAGACTTTCAGAGGCAAATGATGCTAACTCCTGCTAATAGACTCTAAGGTTAGGTTTGTAAAATGTCCATCTTTCAGAAGTGACCTCACCATGGGTATTTCCATAGACTAAGCCAGACTGTAAACATTAGGAGACTGAATAGGACCAACATTGATTCATCCTATCCTCTCTTCACTTGTGCTTCTTCTTAAAAAATATTTTATTATTTTTATTTTATGTGTATGAATGTATTGCCTTCATGTGTATAAGTGCACTCATGTCATGCAATGCCTGTGGAAGTCAGAAGAGTCCAGATCCTCTGGAACTTGAGTTATGGATGGTTGTTAGCCACCACGTGGGTGCTGGGAATCAAACCTAGATTCTCTGCAAAAACACCACTGCTCTTAACCTCTGGGCCATCTCTCCACCTCCAGGGTATGCTTCTTTCACCATGTGAAAGAATTTAAGGACAGTGAGTTTGTGGACCTTACTCCACTTTTCCAATCAACTCCACCTGCCAAGGAGATGCTATGTTGCGTCAGGTTACTTTCGCTTCGCCACCCTTCTGCCTTGCACATTGTGGCCGCCTGGCAAAAGTAAAGACACAGAGGCGTGTTTCCACAGACCCCTGATTTATTTGGTGTGTACCCCACCGGAAGGTGCCAAGCCGAGGCTTGGATTCCTTCCAGGAAAAACAGCTTCACGGGATGTAGTTCCCATCACCGCCACAAGGTGGAGCCAGCCTCCTGCTCTGGGGCCTCGAGTCACGACCCGGAAGCACTTCTCCACAGGCCCACAGCGGAGATGGCGGCGGTTGCCTCCGCAGCGGTACTGTGGCCCGTTGCCCGACGGCGGCTGTGGGGTTTCACCCGGAGGCTCCCGCTTCGCAACGCTGCTGGGCAGGTGAGCTTCTGGCTGGGATCCAGCGCCCCGGAGCCCCGCGCGGCCTGCGATCGCGACCTGGGCCGCCCTGGACCGCTGAAGACTGGAGGGAGCGAGGCTGCCCGCCCCCGGGAGCCCTGCTAGTCGAAGCCCCCCATTTTTTCGAGCCCTCCAGGACTCCGGACTCGGTGGAATAAGTGCCAGCCGATCACCAAAAACCTCGTGGTTCCAAATTGGGGGAAATTAATGGAAATGTTATCTTTTTTTCTGTTTAAGACAGGTTGGGCAGAATTTTGTCAATGTTTGCGTTTTCTTAAAATGTCTTTCTCCAAAAGGGGACTTAATATGACTATGTATATGTGTATGTGTGTATATACACGCATGTACACATACATGGGAAAAGGAAAAGAGTGCTGAAAGGTCAAAAGGCTAGGAGGTAGATGCCAGAGGAACCAAAGTTGAGAAGAGTTTGTTTTGAAGGGTACTGGGGACCTCAGTCTCCAGGCACTCTTACTGAGCTGTAACTGCTCCCTTCCCAATCTAGGAAGGTGTTTTATGGAGTGAGTCTATTTGAGATATATATATATATATATACATATATATATATGTATATATATATATTCTAATTGATATTAAATACCAGAATAGTAATGTCTGTTTTTTCTTTCCTCCTCCTGTGCCAATCTAGCTATTGTATCTTCGAGGGAACAGACTAAGAAGTACTCAGGCTGCTCCACAAGTTGTTCTGAATGTTCCTGAAACACGTGTCACATGTTTGGAAAATGGACTCCGAGTAGCCTCTGAAAACTCCGGGCTCTCCACGTGCACAGTAAGTGCCTGGAAAACTTCTCGAGTGATACCTCATTCAGGAGAGAGCAAATTCAACTGCTGGCTCTTGAATTGGACTTTTCTTCCAGTTTTACTTTAGTACCAGGTCTCTGTGAATTCTCTTTCAGTGTGTACACCTAGTTTTGTAGACTGTTGTGTTTACTGTTAGTGATATAGATGATGAAAGTGGTATGTTTGCTGGGCTACTCTGCTTTCTGTATATGGTATTAATTGATTTTTTTAATTAAATTTTTTTTTTATTTTTATTTTATGTGTATGAGTGTATTGCCTGCATGTATGTAAGTGCACCCATGCTGTCCACTGCCCTTGGAGGTCAGAAGAGGGCATTGGATCTCCTGGAACTGGAGTTATAGACGGTTGCTACTGCCATGTGGATGTGGGCAATCGAACCCAGATCCTCTGCAAGAGCAGCCAGTGCTCTTAACAGCTGAGCCATCTCTCCAGCCCATGGTTTTTAAAATTATTCTTTGTAGTACAAATCATCACACCTATTTTATAATTGGGGACACAGGTTCAGAGAAGCTAAGTGGTTGTATCTAAGGCTGTGAGGCTCATACATGTATTTGAACTCAAGTTTTTGATAGTCCCTGATGCCTGTTATGCCACAGTTATTAACCAGATGTAGAAATGAGTTAGGTTAAGAATCTGAGCTCACTGTGATGTTCACCTTGGATGTCTGTAGCCCCCAACAGTAGCCTGATGGTCTCAGTTTATAGGAATGAATTGTCAATTCACTGTGGTCAAAGACAACTTTAAAGATTGGAAATTATTTGTCAGAAGAAGGAATGAGACTACAAAACCGGAGTAGACATTTATCCACTTATTCTTGGATTGCACTAAGGTTGGACTGTGGATTGATGCTGGGAGTCGATATGAAAATGAGAGGAATAATGGAACGGCGCACTTTCTGGAGCATATGGCTTTCAAGGCAAGTTCTGAGACTTAATGGAAATGCATTCTCCTTGAAGGGAAATAAGTACAAAAATACTATGTTTTAAAGGGAAGAACTATTTCAATAATAAGGCATGTGTTATTTTTATTTTTCCAGTACTGTATCTGAAATTACTGATAATTGCTTTCTAACATTGAAACAAAGCTCCTGTCTTGAGAGACAAAGGCTATTTTCAATGAATATAATTTTTAAAAGCCTAATGCAGTCTATAAACTTGTCCTTACATGACTGACTTTGGTTTTTGTCCTATATATTTATTACTGGAAGTATTTAGAATAGGTGAATGGTAAAAGGAAGGCATCATAATTTGTTTTTTCTTGTTTATTTCTATTTAAAGGGCACCAAAAAGAGATCCCAGTTAGACCTGGAACTTGAGATTGAAAACATGGGTGCTCATCTTAACGCCTATACCTCCAGAGAGCAGACTGTGTACTACGCCAAAGCATTCTCTAAAGATTTGCCAAGAGGTATTACTTGTACTGCAGAAAATTAATTTTCATGAGGGTTCAGAAATAATTTAGAACTGTTTTTATGTCTACTTGTAAAACCTCTAGAAATGTAAAAAAACAAAAATGGAAACAAAGTCTGGGTGAAGGGTATCTGGTTTTTCTTTTGAATCCCCAACTATGACAAATGATAACAAGTATTTATAGACTTAAAGACTTGATTTAATCATACTTCTTTCAGAGTCTTACCTGTGGGGTAAAATATTTTTAATCACTTTTATTCCTTGTTTGAGACAAAACTATTGATCCTGAGCAAATTAACCAATATTTACTTATATGATAATTATTAATGATTGTTTTTATATCAGTAAAATAGTTATTTTTATTCTGTAAAAATAAAATAATTGTTTTGATGGGATAGCACACAGCAGTTTGTGTAGTGTTTTGAAAATGTTAAATTTAATTACCCAAAACATTTTCCTAGTGGAAGAATTGAAAACAAAACAGCATTTTGGAACTAATTAGTGAAATTATTATTTTTGAGATAGGATCTCTCATAGCCCTGGCTGGTCTGGAACTCTATGTAGACCAGGCTGGCCTCGATCTCTGTGGATCTGCCTGCCTCTGCCTCCTGAATGTTGGGATTAAAGCCATTTTAATTTTCTCATAAAATTCATTTCACCTTTGGCTTTTTACAGAATTAAGGCTTGAGAGGACAATAGTTTTGTAATTGGTTCTTGGGAGGTGTATTTTGGGTTATGATGATTTTTTTTTTTTTTTTTTTTTTAACGTTGAAGCTTCATTGCTGTGGGAACGTGGGTAGAAACACTTGAGTGATGTGAACCTGTGTACATACCTGTTTTCTGTATCTCAGATAATTTTCTACTCTATGCTTTTTATATAGAACAACCTATATTAACATTGAGATTTCTGTGGAATTTGTGAGTCAGAATGAGTATTAAGTGATTATCAAATTTAGTGTTTTTCTCCAAGGTCTTCTGTATCACAGGGGCTTCTATTTTACATTTTCTTTCAATAGTATTCTTTAGGTTTATCAAATCATAGAGGACTTTTCTCCTGTGTTAATTATTTACTCAATATTGAATGATGGTCTATATCATAGTTTCTGATGTTAAAAGAGATTTCAATAGCAAAAATTAAATTCTAGTTTTTTTTCCAATGTTTTCATTTCAATTAGCTGTAGAAATTCTTGCTGACATAATACAAAACAGCACATTGGGAGAAGCAGAGATTGAACGCGAGCGAGGAGTAATCCTTAGAGAAATGCAGGAAGTTGAAACCAATTTACAAGAAGTTGTTTTTGATTATCTTCATGCCACAGCTTATCAAAACACTGCACTTGGACGGACAATTCTGGGACCAACTGAAAATATCAAGTAGGTATATTTCTCTTGGGCAAAATTTATGACATTTACAAACTTTTAAGTCATTTTTTTGCCCTGATAATCTGAATAAAATAGTTGACTGTGCTGCAGTGTCACTGAACTCCCAGGTGTCTGGGCTCACTTTTGCTTTAAACATGTAATACTGGTATATGTATCTTTCTTTAAAGATTTTTTTTTATTTTTATGAGTGTTTTGCTTGCATGTATGTAAGTGCACCCATGTATACAGTGCCCACGGAGGCCAGAAGAGGTTGTCAGAGCCTCTGGAATTGGAGTTCTGGACAGTCAGTTGTTAGCCACCATGTGGGTGCTGGGAACCGAACCTGGGTCCTCTACAAGAGCAGCTAGTGCTCTTAATCACTGACTGTATGTATCACTTAGAATACTTTCAAGGTCTATTTAGTTTCAGGTATATTAGGTAAAGACCTATGCTTTAAAGTCGCTTTTTGGATGTGGTTGCCCACGTCCAAGACAGGAGGATTGCTATGAGTTCAAGGTCAGCCTAGGGTACATAGTGAGTTCCAGGTCAGCCTAAGCTACAGATTGAGCCATCTATAGAATAAAAGAAAATGTTTTACTTTATTTACAGATCTATAAATCGTAAGGACTTAGTGGATTATATAACCACACATTACAAGGGGCCAAGAATCGTGCTTGCTGCTGCTGGAGGTCAGTTTAGTTTCTATAAATGTTTAAACATGGTTGTTGGAGTGATGTGCTTATCAACTTGATCCATTTGGGAGAGATCGTGAATTTTTTTATTTCAGAGCAAACTGTTTAGGAGAATGTGGAGCACTGGAAACAGACTATTCGTTTTAGGAAGTTTCTTTTGTAGAAAAGTGTAATGAACCATTCAGTACATAAGTGTACATACTTAGTGGAATTTACTTACAAGAGCTAATGAATGAACTGGGAAACAGTTAACTTGGAAGATAGTAGTGCTCTGTAATTACAGAATCTCTTTCATCCTTGGTCAAGCCTGGAATTGGTATATTCATTCCTGAGCTCAGTTATTCACTCAGGAGACCAACTAGTCACTGAAAAGGAAAGAACGTACCCAGGGAGTCATGAGAATATGTAATGTGAAGTCAAACATTCAAGATGGCATCAGATTCCCCTGGGACATGTGAGGCCTGTGAGTGAAAAAAAATTCGCTTCAGGTTCTGCTAGATTTTCGGGCAGCCTAAAGTTAGGGGCATAGTCACTTTAATTGGCTTTTAGGTTTTTTGTGTTTTTTCGCTATTAGGAGTGTATTGAAGACAGCTGTATTTTGTGTGTGTTTGTGTGTGTGTGTGTGTGTTCGTTCTTGTAAAGTTAACTTTTCTCTTTTTAGGATTCATTATAAATTTAAACTGGAATTGCTCTAGATAGACTTCTGAGCTAATTATAAGAGGCTAGTAAAGATAAACATGGACGTTAAATACTTCAAACAGGTTCTTCATTGTGGCATTAGCTAAATCACTTTACCTTTGTGTGGCAGGTAGTGTGCTCAGAATTGTGTGTAACATCATTTCTAAAATGGCAGAAGCTGGCCGGGCTTAAAGACGGGAAACTTCCCTGGCTAGTTGGAGCCTCTGCCATTACTAGCAGCATGCAGATACAAGTTTTATTTGGGTTTCTAGGTTCATTTGGACATTGCTGAAGTTGGGATAGTCTGAAGTTAATGGCGTGTCACCAATTATTTTTTGTCTTATATTACATTTTTTATTTTTGAGACATTCTTGCTTTATAGCCAGGCTGGCCTTGAACTTAAAGCTGCTCTGCCTCAGTCTCCTGAAGACTGGTTGCACTTTAGCCACCACACCTTGTGATTTATAAATGTGGTTTATTATTAATGCTGTTTTAAATTCAGCCGGCCAGTTTAAGCCTCTAGCTGACCTCCTCTGATGTTGTGTCAGCTTTAATTTATCAAGTAAGTTTTTGTATCTCAGTCCTTTAAAAGATTGTAGGTTCCCCTGCCTTTTTGATTGGGCTGTTGGAGTTGCATATCTGGCATGTCTAACCATAATGACTGTTAGTTCTGGAGGTGGTAAGATTGGCGGAAGAGGTGGTCAGGTGTGAGGGTGCTTCATGGTTTTTCTTCCTGCCTCCAGTGTCCTTATACTACCATGATCTGCTTGTGTTCTCATCCTCTGGATTGGTATCCAAGGTGACTTTCTTACATGGTGATTCTGAAGACCATGTGCTGTCATAGACTATCATGCTTTACATCACAAATGTATTTGAACAATATGGGTATAAGGTGTGTTTTTATATTCTAATAGACTGTTTTATTTAAAGAAGTCTTAATGGCAGTGCTTTCCAAGTACTTGCACAAGCTGGGTCAGTGGTATATACCTGTAATCCCCAGCACATTGGGAGGCTGAGGCAGGAGGATTGCAAGGTCAAGGAAAGGCTTGCAGAAAGCAGCCTGTCTCAAAAGCATAAACTTGTGTCTAGACTTTTATTAAGTTGATGTTTGTGGTTTAGAATCTTTCACTGAGGGAATCTGTTCGGGAATACAGAATATAAATAATTCCTGAGGTTTGGATGTCAAGTTGTGACACATGGGAAACTATGAATGTATTCAGAAACTCAGATGAGTCTTATTTTTGTTCCAGAGTTCTTAAGAAATGAAGCATATTTATGTGTACAGCTTTTTAAAAATGAGATGGAGCCCATATTTCCATTCTTTCCTACTTTAAAAAGTAACTTAATGAAAATTTACTTGCTAAGTTGCATCCTGAACATTTTATAACTTAACATTATTTTTTTTAGAAGCTGGATTTTCTGGATAAGACTCAGATTTTCAAAAATTTATTTAGATTTTTGAGAGTGGGTGTCACTTTGTAACCCTGGCTGGCCTGGAACTTGCTGTGTAGACCAAGCTGGCTTCATACTCAGAGATCTGCCTGCCTCTATCTCCTGAATATTGGGAAGACTCACAGTTTAAAAATATAATGAAAAGTACTATTTCTGTCTCTATTTAAGTGGTTTGGTACTCTTTATCATTCCAGAAATCCAGATGAAATTATTTAAAGTCTAGGAAAGTCACAAAGACCAATAAAAAAATTCCAGCAGATGAAAAAAAAGTGGGATTTTTCAAGCAGTTTTATTATCTTCATATGTAAATATACTGGTATGGCAAACACTGTCAATTGCTCAGAGAAAGCTATGTAACCCAGGCCTTATTAACATCAAGAAAATGGGAATGCTTTAAATGGCTCTTAGTAAATGCACTACCTGATGTTACAGTATTTCACGTAGAACTTATGTAATACAAACTTCTGGCAGCTAGTTGCCTTAGATTGTATTGCTTTTAGATACATATGAAAATATTTTCCTTCAATTTAGGTGTTTCCCATGATGAACTGCTTGATTTAGCAAAGTTTCATTTTGGTGACTCTTTGTGCTCACACAAAGGAGAAATACCAGCTCTGCCTCCCTGCAAATTCACTGGAAGTGAGGTAGGGCAAGCCTCTTCACTAGAATTTGGTCTTTGGGTATCTTTTGTAAGTGTCTTACACTTAACAATTGAGTGTACGGGAGCTGGAAAGATGACTCTGGTTAAGAGCATCTGATGTTCTGCTCTTGTAGAAGACCAGAGCTAGGTTCCCAACAGTCACATCAGGAAGCTCACAGTGGCTTAGAAACCCAGTTCCAAGGGATATGTATTTTGTATTTTTTAATATTTTATCATTTTCATGTGTATGAGTGTATTGCTTGCATGTATGTAAGTGCACCCGTGTAGTGCAATGCCTGTGGTCAGAAGAGGGTATTGGACCCCCCTGGAACTGGAGTTAGGACAGTTGTTAGCTGCCATGTAGGTGCTGGGAATCGAACCCAGGTCCTCTGGAAGAGCAGTGTTCTTAACCACTAAGCCATCTCTCCAGCCCCACAAATAAAATTTTTTAAAAATTTTACTCTTATGTGTACAAGTGTATTGCCTGCATGTATGTAAAAGTGCAGCTGTGTCATGCAATGTGTACAGAAGTCAGAAGAGGGCGGAAGATCCCCTGGAACTGGAGTTACGGATGGTGGTTGTTAGCCACCATGGGTGCTGGGAATCAAGAGCAGACAGTGCTCTTAACCATTAAGCCATCTCTCCAGCCCCTTAAAAAGTTTTCAAAAAGACAGTGGTCAAAATATATACATTTCAGGCTAGAGAGATGGCCCAGCAGGTAAAGCTGTTTATTGCCAAGTCTGGTGACCTGAGTGATTCCTTGAGTTCAATCCCCAAGACTCCTACAGGCTGTCTACCTCCACATCTGTGCTGTTGCATGCCTGTGCCCATACACATACAGTAATAAATATAAACTTTATTTTTTTGGTCTTTTTGAGAGACTGTCGCCCTGTAGCCCCAGCTGGCCTGGAACTTGATATGTAGGCCAGGCAGGCCCTGAACTCACAGGGATATGCCTGCCTCTGCCTCTGATTAAAGGCATGCGCCACCATGCCAGGCTAAATGTAAACTTTTTTAAAAATACATTTTATTATTTTTATGTGTATGAGTGTATTGCCTGCATGTTTGTAAGTGTGCCCATGTTGTGCAATGCCCGCAGAGGACAGAAGGTGGCATTGGATACCCTGGAACTGGAGTTACAGATGGTTGTTAGCCACCATGTGGGTGCTGGGAATTGAACCCAGATCCTCTGCAAGAGCAGTTAGTGCTCTTAACTGCTGAGCCATCTCTCCAGCCCCAAATGTAATTTAAACTTTATTTTTTTTAATTTTTAAAAATTTTATGTGTATGAGTGTATTGCCTGCATGTCTGTGAGTGCACCCGTGTCGTGCAATGCTGTGGAGGTCAGAAGAGGGCTTCGTATTCCCCTGGAACTGGAGTTAAGGACGGTTTGTAGCCGCCTTGTGGGTGCTAGGAGTTGAACCTGGGTCCTCTTCAAGAGCATTCAGTGCTCTTAACCGTTGAGCCATCTCTGCAGTCCCAATTTAAACTTTTTTTTTTTTGTCCAGCAAAGCAAAGTTTATTTCTTAGGATTGCTGGTGGCTGGCAGCTCAGCTGGGGAGAGAAAGGCAACAGCAGCCTGCTGACTGCTGAGGAAGTTCTTATAGGGGGTTGGGGAATATGGAAGTGACAAAGATAATCTACAGTTTCAAGGGAAGTAGCTTGAACTGAGACAGCTCTTACATCAGTGGGTCTTGGTACAGGGACCTGTTTATCTTCTAAAATTATCTGGGGAACAGCTTTGTGCTGAGACAGCTCTCCGATTTAAACTTTTTAATGTTCATATTTCTCATAGGAATAAGATGGAAAAAATCTGAGATACAGAAATGTGAAGAGAATGGGCTCATTTGCTTCCTATTCCATAGAATTCAACTACTTGTTTTTCTTTCTTGAGGAAGCAAGGTTTTAGAGCAGGGTTATAATTTGCTTTTTGTTTTTCTTTTGCACTAATTATGGCAGAGTAACTACAATTTATAATTTAAAAATACTTTTTTATTTTTATTTTGTGTGTATGAGTGTATTGCCTGCATGTATGTAAGTGCACCCATGTTGTACAATGCCCATGGAGGTCAGAAGAGGGTGTCACATTTCCTGGAACTGGAGTTAGAGATGGGTGTTAGCCACCAATGCAGGTACTGAGAACTGAACCCAGGACCTCTTCAAGAGCAGTCAGTGCTTTTAACCACTGAGCCATCTCTCCAGCCCCCATAACTCTATAATTTAAAAGACTGAATTTTGACTTTCACATTGGCTTTACAGTTTGCACAGTATATTAAGTGTGGTTCTCGTTGTTGGTTTATTTGTGTGTGTGTGCGGGGTGGGGGGGTGCTATTAGAGCCAGAACCAGCAGAGAATCTACTACTTACCATAATAGTGTTAAGCCTCAAGCCTACTTTGCCTCATTAAGTATGATGATTGTAGAATTGTATAAATGAGGTCTGATGGTGGCAGCTGCACACAAGTGTAGCCCTATCAGAGTTGGTTTAAATTTGGAGAGAAAAATTCATATGGATACATATAAAATGGTAAGATAATTTTTTTTCAATTTTTACAAAGACTTTGAGAATTTCATATATGTATATAAGGTGTTTTTATAATCCATGCCCTCTCCCTCCCCTCCAACATCCCCCCCCTCTGAAGAGGTAACCCTAAAATCTTTTAAGGATTAGATACAAGCTCCCAAATACTTTTGACTGTTTTTGGCCTTTGGAAAAGAGTATGTTGCTAACAGGCCCAAGGACATTTTGACTTTTTGCTAAGAAACTGGCTACATTTCTGAGGTCTTTTTACCCTAACTGCCTAGCCAATTTCGACCTCCTATTATTAAGCTAAGGTAATTCTTTTTGACCAGGTAGTATTTCAGCTGAATTCTTCTGAATTACAGTGTAATGAGTCCTGACAGTTAAGAAGCAAAGTCATCATGGTGAGCATTTTAGCCTTGCTATTAATAGGACTTGTTTTTCTTTCTTGATAATAAGCATATTATATAGTGCTAATCTTAGCTAGAGTGTTTTGCTCATTGATCTTATCTAGATTCGTGTGAGGGATGACAAGATGCCATTGGCACACCTTGCGATAGCTGTTGAAGCTGTTGGCTGGGCACATCCAGACACAATCTGTCTCATGGTTGCAAACACACTGATTGGCAACTGGGATCGCTCTTTCGGAGGAGGAATGGTGAGTGATTTTTGAATAACTTTTCACAGTAAATGAAAGATTATCATGTTTTCCTAAATATAAATTCTTTGTAAGAATTGTACTTTATTTGAAGTGGCAAAATAGATTACTTGCTATGACTTTCAACTTTTAAAAATATTAACTCATCCTGGATCCCACTGAGCAAGAAAAAAAGTTGTCTTTGTCAGTTTATCAGTGGAATAATTGACAAAATAAGAACAGAACATTTAAGCTGTTACTGTTATCGTAATATTAGTGACCAATCATACTGCAGTAACCATATGTTACAAATAGAGTAGTTAATAGTTCTATGTCAGTGTTAATATCCTAATTTGAATATTCTTGAAAACTTGCTTTTCAATAGTACATACTGAAGAATTTAAGGGCAAAGAACTATCTACAGCTTACACTGAAATTGTTAAGAAACGTAAGGGCTGGGGCTGTAGCTTAGCACTAGATTGCGTGCCTCACACTCCTGAGGGCCAGGGCTCAAATCCTAGTACTGCAAAAAACAAACCCACTAACAACAAACAGTATAAAGAAATTAAACAACAAATGTGATAAAACATATTTAAAGAAATCTGAAAGGGAATTTTTGCACTATTACAACTCTTCTAAAACGTCTAAAATTATTTTGAAATACAGAGTAGAGATTTGTCTGAGTTTTCCAAAATGCATTTCATATAAATATCTTGGGCTTCACATACAGTATAATTCCAGCATGTATAATCAGGAGGCTTGTAAATGACTTGGTATCTGCACTCCAGTGTCTTATGAATAGGTGCAGCTACTAAGTCAATTACAAGACTTCATGTTTTTATTTTACATATTGGGCCAGATGAATATAACTCTTCCTTGAATTTTAAAGTTACTATTGAGATGTTGCTGGATGAACCTGAAAACTTGGCCTATTTAACATTCACTAATAGCCACATGTTGCATTTCTCTTTATGGTAATTTAGACGTGTACCCACAGTACTCCTGAATTACTCTTTTCCTTTACAGAATTTATCTAGCAGGCTGGCCCAGCTCACTTGCCATGGTAATCTCTGCCACAGCTTCCAGTCTTTCAACACTTCCTACACAGATACAGGATTATGGGGACTCTATATGGTTTGCGAACCAGCCACAGTTGCCGACATGTTATATGCAGTTCAAAAAGAATGGTGAGAAACAACTTTAAGTAGCTGAAGCCTTACCTAGGACTCATCTATTAGGCGAGTGTCCTAATGGTGGTAGCTTTAGCATTTAAAGCAGTAGTTGCCATGTTTTCAAAGACATGTTTCTTTAGGGCTGGAGAGATGGCTCAGTGGTTGGAGCACTGACTGCTCTTGCACAGGACCCAGGTTCGATTCCCAGCACCTACATGGCGGCTACAAACCGTCCTTAACTCCAGTCCTAGGAGAATCTGAAGCCCTCTTCTGACCTCCGCAGCATTGCACAACATGGGTGCACGCATACATTCAGGCAATACACTCATACACATAAAAATAACTGTAGCACCAGGAAGCAGAGGCAGGTGAATCTCTGTGAGTTTAAGGCCAGCCTGGGCTACGTAGTGAGTTCAAGGCCAGTTGAGGCTACAGGGGGAGACCCTGTCTCAGAGAAGACCAAAATATATATATATATGTATTGATAGTAAAAAAATTTCTTCCAAGTTTCTTTGAAGCTATTTATACTATACTGTTTGTTATCTTTCACAGCAGATCACTTCATGAAAATTTAAAACATTTAAAGTCAACTAGAAATTGTTCAGAAAATACATCTAAACATAATCTGAGGGGTGGGACACAGCTCAGTGGTAGACTGCTTGTTTAACATGCCCAGGACCCTAGGTTGAATCTCCAGGACTGGCGAAAAAAAAAAAAAACTAGTTGAAATTGTAACCACTTGAATGTTGTGGTACAGTATGTACTCTATGCCATCTTACTCTTTAACATATAGACTACACATTTTCTAGCTATCTGTTTCCAAATGTTTTAGGATGCGACTATGTACAAATGTCACTGAAAGTGAAGTTGCACGAGCGAAAAATCTTCTGAAAACGAACATGTTGTTGCAGCTTGATGGTAAGAATTCTAAAGACTTAAGGGCTGGGGAAGTAGCTCAGTAGTAAGTCCTTCCACTGTGTGTGAGGTCGTGTTTCAACTTTAGCTCTACCATCTTCATATGGATGATTATTTCAGTACTTAAGAGTTCCTTCTCTAAACAGGTTCAACTCCAATTTGTGAAGATATTGGTAGGCAGATGCTGTGCTATAATAGAAGAATTCCCATCCCTGAGCTTGAAGCAAGAATTGATGTAAGTAAGCTGGCATGGTGGCATACACCTTTAATTCCAGCACTAGGGAAGCAGAGGCAGGCAGATCTCTGTGAGATCGAGGCCAGCCTGGTCTACATCATGAGTTCCAGGACAGTTAGGGCTATAGGGAAACCCTGTCTCAAAAA